AGAAGCTGCAAGGATTATCACAGGCCTAAGGAAAGGTACATTACACCAAACTCTATATAAAGAACTAGGCTGGGAATTGTCTGATCGAAGGATGAACCATAAGCTAATTCAGATGTATAAAATAACTAACAATTTATCACCCACATATCTCCATGACATACATGAAATTGATCCTCTCATTCATAATCCAGAAAACGATAGGTATACTCTAAAAAATGTAAGAATGTTCAACCCACCACTATGTCGTACAGAATCATATTCCCCTACTCTTAATAAAGTTAAGGCCAAGGTATATAATGAAATATGTTTTAATAATTATATATCTGATGTATTTAAAAGAGTATTCATCTTGTCTGTGTGGTAATGCTTATGAAACTGCTACCCATTATCTTTTACAATGTCCAATGTATACTGATGAACGACAAAATTTAACAAATGAGATTTTTGAAGTATGTCCGGTTAATCTTGATACTAAAATACTTCTTAATGAAAGCACTATGTTAAACAATACTGAAAATAAATCTATACTTGATAGTGTTCTTAAATATATATACAACACAAGAAGACTTGTTTAATTAATCAAAACAATCTATAGAATTTTGTTATATATAGTCATAACTTATAGAATACTGTCCTTAAAGGTTCATTCCCATTTATCCAACTTTTTGAAAAATAGGTACTACAGGTAAAAAGTTTGGGTTGGATAATTGGGAATAGGGTATATTGTTAAAACAACAAACACTAATTGGAGCTTGGGTCAAGTGTTGGGTCAAAAATATGGAACAGAAATTAAGTCCTTTTGGATATGTGTATCTATATTCAAAGTTATTACTATTAAATTGATTCAAATGCTTCAATTTTTTTTTATTTGTGTTTTTATTTATTGAATTATTGATTCTGTAGTTATGATATATGCTTTCAGAATAAGACTAATTTCTATTTTCAATATATTTATTCAAATAATATCAGACCTACATATTAACAGACATATTAAGTATTAAATATACAAAATAATACAAAATAATATTCATTTTATAAATTCATATAAAGCACTAGAAATAAGATGTTGCAATATGAATAACTTTACATGATAGAAAAGTTACAATGTGTAGTAAATTTCACATTTAAAACATATGACGTAGAGGTTTGGGTGAGCTCTGTGAATTTGGTTGTTGAGTTTGTGGTGCCATCCTTCTAAGTGGTTTGTTGTTCTTGGTCCAACTGTTGAGTAGTGGTTCCATTTTGCTGTCTCCATCCCGATCCATTGCTCAGTTACGTAGTCGTTGAACGTGGTGATATTTGCGTCATCGGTCTCGTAGTCTTCAATTGCGTGGAACCATACATCATCTATTTGGTTGATGGGGACTAGTGGTAATGCTGAAGCTCGTCTTATATGTAGGTTGAGTAAGTTGTCGTTGGTGTACTGGTCTGCTAGTCCAAGTTCCTGTACCTTTCTCCATATGCGTTTGCACTAGTGGAATAGACAGACTGTCTCTGCTGCGTTACGGGCTGAAGACTCGAAGTCGAAGAATATAGTGGTTGGATTGAGTGGTGTGTTGTTGTTTGCTGCTGCTGTCTTAACGATCTCGAATAGTCGTTGGTAGGTGATCTGGCATTTGTCAGGTAGGAAGGCGAATATTAGTGGGTACATCCCGTCGTCTATGAGTGCATGCAGTGTGTACAGCTGGGTGAAAAGTACAGGACTGGCGTTAAAAGTTCCATCCTCAAATATTGTGTCAGCGTTACTTAGATGGCGGAGGTTGTCTGTAGTACCAAATACCAGGATCTTGTTGTGGTTACCGTCATCTGCTAGTAGGAATTGTGCTCCTGTAGTAGTCTCTTTGCCATTCTCCCAGGAGATTAATGGCATCACGTGTGGATGGTAGTGGTGGTAGTTCACTGTTGCGTTCTCGGTACATAGCTGATTTGGTACTGACGAAAGTTGGTATCTGTTTCTGAATGTGATGATCTCGCTGTCGTACAATGCGGGTAGTGGTTGTAGAGTTTTGGCTGCCTTTTCTCTGAGTGTTGCTAGAAATTTCTTGACATCTATGTCAGCACGAGTTGGTGGGTGGTTTTGTTCTCTAGGAAATCTGGTTACCATGTTTTCTCTGGTGTTGGCTGTGCCTGGGCAATCTTTCTCAGCGCACTTCCAGTAGGCTAGTTCTGCATCTCTACCCTGTTTTCTGGTCTTTATCACATATCTGTAGCCATGTTCGCCATGGTTAAACTTGAATAATGAATTTTGTCAGTGGGTCAGTACTAATAAGCTAACAACTAGCTTGGGATGCTTAGTGAGTGTGCAGCACCAGTGTAGTTACGTGTGCAACACTAGTGTAGTTTGCAATAAGGGCGGCCATGCTTTTGTTGGCGTATAATACGTTTAGTTAAATGTAAGTGCATGTACTTTGTCACGAAATTGTATTCATGTGAAAAAACCTAGCTTATTCAAGTTGTGTTTTTCCTATACCTGTTAAGTTTAAAAATTGCTTGTTTATAGCCTTAAGCATATACACTATTGATTAATAAAAGAGAATTTTCCTCTACATTGTGGGTGAGACAAAGAAATCTTCAATCAAAGAGTTGCTGCACGTTCAAATCCAGGATGTGATGTGGCCAAGTCTTTAAAAAAAAACAATGGCTAGGTGTAACAGTAAAAGGCACTGAAGAAATTGGCTATACATTGACATTACCCTAACCCTTTCAAGACGTCATTGATAAAGAAATCAAACGGTTGCCAATGACCCGATGGGACAAGCTTTTGTCAAAAGAACAAGCGGTTGTTAAATCCTATGAATCTGTTTCGTCGTCCGATCTAGAGCGATTCACTTCCATCTTCCATCGAAAGTTTTCTTTATTTGGATACGAAAAAACATTGGAAGGAAACATAGTAATTCTTTAAAATGGCCTTCAAGTTTTAACTTTGAATTGAAATTCAGTCAAGTCGGAATTTGGATCTCTCAACCGACAATATTTACTCCATGATTAATGTATATTAGCGTTTTGGTTTAGTATAGTGGCAATTCAATAAGTAAGTAAACTTGCCAGAAAAGCTTTGCACGGGTAAACGAAATTTTCAAATATAAGGTGCAATTTATACAAAAACGGATTTCAAATAGAAAATCCAATATGTTCCACATAACTCCGCTTCATTTTCAGCGATAAAGGATTTAAAAAAACCCACCGTATCTTTATAAAGGATTTAGACCAAAATGTGGCACAGTGTCTGTCAGATTCTCTTTCTGCGTCAACATCATTTTGGAAGATGTTTAATGTAAAAACATGTGGATTAGGACAACATATTGAAGAGAAAACAAAAGTAAAATTTTACTAAAATGGCACTTAAATTACATGCGCCATGGAAAAAAAATGAAACATTCTGGAAGCAGAGGGTAAATCAGTTCACACCTCAAACATCACTTACAACAACACTGTCGGCAGTTGAATTATCTCAGGAAGTGTCTATTGGATTAATTCTACCCCCAAGTATGGATCCTTGTGTGTGAAGATCTGTTCCATTCTATTCCATCAATATTCATATTCTAAAATAATTGTTGGATTACTGTATTCCCTCTTACATAAGTTTTACAGCATTCTGTTGGGTGAGTTTATTCTCCTCAATAAAACAGTAATATTGGCTACTGGATTATTTCTGGATCAAATATAATTATCTGTAGTGTTTCAATGGATAATATTTATTGTTAATTTTTATTATATTAAAACGTACATAAACATGTATATAGTTTAGCCATATGTTGGAAATAAATTGCGGATTTTCTTCTAAAAGCTGGTGTTAAGCATTATTTTTGTTGCCTGTAATTGTCCATTATAAGGCCAATAGCTGTCCATTATTAAACCTAATAATGGACAGCTACGGCGTAATAATGGACAGCTACGGCGTAATAATGGACAGCTACAGGTACCTAATTGTACATTACTATATAATATTTACACTTGGATGGCATTGTCACTATATAGCCTCTTTGAAAGCTGTGTCGTTGATGGGACTTTAATTCCCATGCATCACGAGACACAATTCTTGGCGTATTAATACAACACTGACCGGAACTACAATATACAATATAAATAAACATGACGGCTGCTGAAATATCGCTGGGCATTGTGAGATTTGAAAACGTCATTGTAAATTTATGTACAAAATAAAAAATAAAATAAAAAACACTTTTATTACAACGAAAACAAGACCAAGGTCTGCAATTATGCAGCAATATCGTACAAAATGCATATCGGTTGAAATCACCAATGCCGGCAATGGAAACAATTTTAACGCTTATGCAATTTATCAGAAATATCGTCTGTTACACTGAACTGATCAACAGGGGTTCGTTACAAATGTCTGAAATACACATTTTCTATAGACCTACTGACACATATGTTACAGACCTACTGATATGAATCGCAGCACACATAAACATTTCAGACATTTGTAACGAACCTGTGCTCCGTCGCAAGATCACTTACTTCAAACGCTATCAGTTTCACGCGTCTCACATCCACGGTTCCTCAGTTTCTGACGACATGTCAAATAACGAGGCTGTTATAGAATCTAGCGACTGTTGTCAGGTTCCCATACAATCAACAAATACATTCACGCCTGGATTCTTCACAAAATGAGCAAAGAGAAAAGTTCGAATTAACTTCCAAAAATAACTTCCTCGTGTAGGGCAAGGTCGGATTTACGGTGTTCACTGTATTTGTCCATGCGTGAAATTTGTTCCGGAAACAAATCGAAACAATTTCAAATCTAACTTTCAGCACAGAGTTATATTGATAAACTGAAATCACCATATAGATATATATCATACGCAATTATATTGATAATGAATTGTGGAATAAAATTAAAGTGTTTGTTAACTTTGTTTGCCAATCAGCACGCGACAATACGCTCTTCAAATTATTGAACGAAATTGTGTGGACTGTCGATAAGGCGGGCATTTTTATTATGATTTGATTGCTTGCAAAGCTGTGTCATTCAAATAGATCATAAATACCATACAAAACAGTTCAATGTTAAAATGTACAATGAGAACAAAGGATGATGTTATAACTGTGTTTTAATTTGAATAACCTATTGATTTGTGCCTACTAGTGTTAACAAGTTAAACTACTCACACAAAAAAAGTTTACTGTTGGTATTTAAATAATTGATACTTAGTGAATGACTTAGTAATTGATCACTTTCACAGTCACCAAAACACTCTGTTGTCAAAGTAAGCATTCTTTTGTTTTCAAATTCTCGTCATTAAACAGATTATGTACTGGATTGTACACTGTGATGAGGTTACCTTACAAAAACAAGAATACCAACCATATAATACTGCATAATCGAATAATAAATTTAACAAACTAACAAGTGTTAATTCATTTAATGAAAGACATCAGCATGATTTAAAGCATATAGGTAAAACGTACGGCATCATGTATCGGTTCCACTCGGCATTTTTAGTTGGGACATTCGTCTTCATATGATATGATTCAACCAACGGAAGTATTTTTGTGGCTTAGAATTAATCCCATATCATGTTATGTATCTTTCAGTGTTGATTGTTTTAAGCAGGCTTTGCGACCCCTTCGTTGGACATCCGGTTTGAAGCAGTCATACGTTGGACATCCGGTTTGAAGCAGTATATTCTATAAATCCTGGATGGCCACGTTGCCAAAGTGTAGGCTTTACAATAAAAACGTCATGTGTTCTACCCTTGCTTTGGCGTTTTTAAATTTTCAAACATTAAATTCCAAATAACTATAATTCTGCCAAATACGATTATGATCGTTTTGTTGTAGGATCAACCTATTTTTGAAAATAATACATGTTTCGGTTGAATTTTTTTTTTTTAAAAACTGCAAAAATCTTTAACAACTCAGGAATACGCTATTAGATAAACAGCGCTGTTATATATTATATGGAATATTTTCAATGTTACGAATTATTTGAATTCAGATATGAACATGTGGATATCACAATAAGACAATGCTTCAATTTTAAATTTTGTGAAGTTTCATGTCCGTCTATGGTTATATGTAATGTCACCTTTCACTCTTTGACAATCCCTTGATGTATGTTAAGAAGGGATATCCGGATGGCGATTCATACGATGTTGCTTGCTTTGTTGGAATCCGCAAAGTGGTGTTAAATCGTTCCGAAAAGTAACTTCTCCAGCGCCATAAATGGGGCTTCGCATGCAAGAGCCAATATAAACGCTGCCATGTAGGATACTATGGTGTGACCAACAAAAAGATAGATCTGAAACAAATAAATTATTTTGTAAAAATAATAATGTTAAGATGCACGATTCTAAAATGTTTTGTTCATTTCTTCAATAATTGTATGTTAAGGTTTCTGTGGTACAGTGATATTTCATTGAATAATAAAATATTTTTGATTGACGAAAAATATATAAAACGAAACCCAATGATTATGAAAATGTAAATCAAGAAAACCTCCCTAATAGGAGCTCAGATTTCTCAATTGTATACATGTAAAAGTTTACATATTTCATTTTTGTATTTAGGTAACCTATGTATATATTATACAGTAAGCCATAACCTTCTCTCGCCAAGCAGGTACATTTAATCACACTGAAAAACAAAAGCAAATATGCGTGTACATGTTATATACGTATTTGTTCAAACAAATAATAAAACTTACCATATCGTAATCCGTAAGATAGACAAGGGAACGTTTGGAGTACACATGTGTAATCATCATCACGGGATGAATCAAATAGACGGAAAACGACAGACGGGACAGTGGTACCAGGGCTTTCCATGACAGGATCGAATTCACGTAACCTGTTTCAAGTCAAATTAAAACATATTCTGATCATGTATCAGGTGACCTGTGTTCAGTCAATTGAAAGTTGGAATTTAAATGATTTATCAAATGTTCTGCGGAGACAATACTGAATTATTTGTCATAGAATACAGTAATTATTGGTCAATTCGCCGTTAAAGGTTAATTCAAACTTCATATACTTTTAAGGCATTTGAAATGTATCATTTTGTCGGATGCACTGTCATAGCAAAAAAACTCTTTGTCCACCAATTATATCATTCGAATGTACAGCTATGCTGAATGGGCACATACGTTTGTAACTTTCGCAGTTCTATCATTGTAAAAGCAATGTTTTTAGTTCTTTCGTCATTTCACTCAAGTTGCAGAGTGGTTACTGTAAAAGACTTAAACTTATATTATAAATCGTGTTTAGGACGAAATTCTATCAAACGACTGGTGAAATATGCAACTGTCTTTTAAGCAATCTTTATTACAGGTTGTTTTTCGTTTTTGCAATATTGAATGTTAGTAACAGAAACGCTTCATATAAGATTTAAATTAAACATAAATCATGTGATTTCCAGGGACGAGATAGAAGATATGATTAATTCCCATCTTAACTTAAGGAAATCAAGTAAGACGCTAGATTTGTACTTACCTCCCATGTCGTTGTGGCAGGCGAAGATCACCCAGGCAACACAGAGCGACCACACTGGTCGGCCGAAACCCTCGTAGAAGGCGGTCTGTACATTTGTCCATACCACACCTCCCTCCTTGTTGGCAGAGTATGTGGAGTACACCAGTGTCAGGGCGACGGCAGTGGCGATGGTCCATCCAACATAACCGATTATCTGCAAATTATGCCAGAAACATTAGTTAATTAATATTTCATAATACGACATTAAGATATTCAGTAACCCGACGGAAAAAAACAAAATGTTTTCTTGCTACAATTTGTGATTTGTTTGTCAAAAAATTGATCCGTTTGATTAGATTTGATAAGTGTAATAAGAGCGTAGCTCTCGAGCGCCGAAGGCCCCCGAGCGAAGCTCTTTAATGGTAACACATGCGTGCGTAAACAGAGTTGCTTCCTCTTTCTACACCTTGCCTTTTATTTTTTTCGGTCGGAAGAAGACGTCCAATGGGGAAACCGGAAGTGTATCCTTGAAGCAAAGACAATTATGTTTCAACCCATACATGAACATCTTCATATAGTGAAAACAATACCCATGTTTATTACTTGTTTATTTAGACAAAAACTAATATACATTCAATATGCAGTGAAAAAAATCATGAAACGTCGTTCAGAGATTATCATACTGTGACGTCACGATCACGTCACACTCCATCGGCCTTCATCGGTTATTTCCGGAAGGATGAAAAATAACCGGAAACTGGAACTGATGCATTTATTTCTTTGTCGGTGCTTCATGACTTTTTAATTTCCGTTTTTGCCACAAGCACAACAAGTAAAAATGCGGATATTTTCTGTCATCAACCTGGTTTTGTTTGTTTTTTTCTACCGGGAGATATCTTCATTTAAAATTTCATCAGGTTTTGATTTTAATTTGTTGGGAAAACGAACGAAATAATTGACACCTTTGAAAGTCTGGATATAGTTTATACATTATTTATGCATCACCACTCATAAAAGAAGCAATTGAAAATTCATTTATGACGAAATTAACAATAATTTTCCAGAAAGCCAACCCAAGTGCAACGCCCTTTTTCAGCAACGTATTACTTTTTTTACAACGCGTGCCGATTTATAACTAGTTACAGACAGAAACTGTAATTCTATTTGGCATCATTACCTGTCAAACCTCGATGATAGTTACAAAATTTGAAATCCAATCCGGTGTTTCAAGATAGAACAGTAATTGAGACTACATATCCATATCAAGACAATTTCAGTTACATCAAAGTATTACAATGTTTTCTTTTTTTTTATTTCATTTTTTTAACTAACATCTCTTTAGCTTTGACTGGAAGAAAATGGCGTCATTGATGCAAAAATTATATTGTGAATACATTTTTACCAATCATCAATGATATAAAAAAATCTACATACGGGAGACCGGTGCAAGTTCTGCCATCCCTGATATTTTTGTCTTTGAGCTAATATTTACAAGTTTAAGGATCTTAGCAGTTTAGTTGGCTGGACATTCAACGACGAAAAAATGGCGAAGAAAACTCTCATGTAAAATGACTTAACAGGAGAAAATTACTTTTGAGATGGTAAAAGGAAAATCATGATCTCGCTTCTAGTTATGCGAACGTTTTACAGTCAAACGTGTAAGACACTGACAGCTTCAAATGATAATACATAAAAGCCAAGCCAATAACTCACTACTTTATTGCTGTACGATAAGAATTTATTAATTTGGGCCAGGACAGTTTCGGCCAATGACACCGTGGCAAGTTCGGCCATCCGATCTTCCGACAGGATAATTAAATAATGTTCCAAAACGGACGTGCTGAAATACTTACTAGGGCCAAACTTGCCTCGGTCTCCCTATTGTTATGTCGGTCTTAATCTCATTAGAGCTTGTGTTTTATTGTTATCCCTCGGCTAACCGACTTTAAATAAAGTTAATCTTATATTATTCTGAAAGTTGTATTCTTAATCAGTAAATATCAGAGATCAACAAAATCTACGCTCTTTTAAGGCTTTGCCTTTTCATATTAATGCATACACCACACGATATGAATTATACTTGGTATTTATCACAAAACGATGAGAAATTTTCATACAACACGTAATAAATGCTGTTACCTTGCTAAATGCCTTCCTTGGTCGTTTGTAAAAGATGACTCCGAGGAACAAACCCACACAATAACCACCAAAACGGGACCAGGGTGCGATGTAGACGTATTTCCAGTATTTACCATTGTCTGATTTTATTCTACAAATGATATTTGAAATAGATTGGAATTTTTCAAATATTCAAATAAATACAAGGGACATATTATGTGACATACAAAATGTACCTATTAACAGACAAAACATTTAAATGACTTCCACGGCAATGTAAATCGCCATTCAACGTCGCAACTAGTTGTGTGTTTTTTCGACGAGACTGACATGAGTTGATGAAGACTTTTATAAAGACATTTATCAAAGGATATACTGAAATAATGACTATCGCAAAATTACTATTCACTTCATTTGTTTGACAAAGTAAAATGCAAATATAAAAAGAATGTGAATCGAGCTAAGATCTAAACAGAAGACAAGCTAACTCATTGACAAAACGCCGGAGCGAAACCAGTCACTATGAAATGGTTCATCTTCCCAATTCCACAGATAATATCCTTTTCACATCACGTATTTGATAAATTAGAGACGAAATATAGTACTCCCTCACACTGAACTAGGGTTTCAAAACATGCTATGAATACCAATCAAAAGTACACCTCATATTCAGATATAAAATAGAATGATACTCACGACAAAATATTTCCATTGTAAACGTATGCTTGCCATGTCGCAACACCACTTCCCACCAGAAACAGCAATGTAGAAAGTACAAGTCCTAGAGGCAAAGACCTGTAAATGAATGTATACTAACAACGTTTTGTTCCTTTGGCCATCATATTTATTTACTAGTAGTTACAGTTGGGAGCAAACTTAACTTGGTAGCCTAGTGTACTGTTGAGTTCACTGGAAAAGTGAACTCCAGTTCACTAGCTTTTGCACTGGAGTTAACACTGAAGTGAATTGAAGGTAGCAAAGACGTTTTATTTTATTTATGTTTTCATCAGGTTGAGAACAATGCAATCCGTATTAATTTTGATTCCTACATGGATGATAAATATTTGTCATATCCCGGCGAATAATAACAATAATAAAACCACCATCAATTATTTAGAAACGCGATAAATAAATGCTGCAAAAATATAACAAATGGCAAGATAAATGTTTATTTTGTTTTAGGCGCGTATGCGTTAGCAAGCCTTTTAAAACAAGCGTTTCAATCATCCTGCAGTAGTGATGATGACTTGAGTAGTGCTGACATTTAACAAGTGGAACAGATGTTGAAATTAAAGCAACGCCGACCGTACTGCATCAGCGGTGCTCAATTTAGCGTAAACCAACTATTATTGTTTTTAAGAAATGTTTAAGAAAAAAAGAAAAAATACTAATAAAAACAAACTAATATCTACATCTACACAAACATTAAATCGGTTAATAAACTACACATGCGCAACGATCCCAAATAATTGGTTCGTTATTTTGATATTGAATCTCGATCATAATACTTGAGGAATACTTGAGGAAATTGTTTGTGCTGTTGAAATTCTTGAAAAAAACAGACTTTGCGTCTGTAAACACTGATCACCTTAAACAGTATCGTCCAAAACCAGATAAGATCGTCGACAATGCGGAAGCACGTGGCCATTTGCTTCTTGTTAATAACGAAATCATTTGCACACCATTAATGATAGTTCGTTGAAATTTGTTAGCATAGAGGTAGGTACAGAAAACACCAACGAAACGAACTTGAGTGTTTCGTATGAAAACTAAGAAACAATAATAAGAGACGACCTTACTTGTTGTCTCTCTTCAAACATAGGTCGGCCGTGCATTGCGTGATACATTTAAGAACAAGACAAAACAAACATACTGAAATATCTTTTGCAGTGACACACTATTCAAACTTCTATCTTCTGGGTTTTATTGAGACATATTGAGCCTTTCAAAAGACATTGCCCGGATAAGAGTTAAAACGCCTTTAAAGAGGAGGAAAATTTGATTTCACAGGACATAATATGTCCTTAAATAAGGATTTAAAATGAATGACCTCGACAGTATGATAGCTTGTCTAGTAGTGATGTCATTAACATGAGCGGTTAACGAGTTATTGTTTGGATAAGAACTTGCTCAGATGGATATTCTGTCAGATACGCTGTAATCCTGTCGTCTTCTGGTTTCATCAGTATGAGACTAAGTACGAATGCGATCTGTTATTTATGTGTGGTCATCTAATCAAATGACACGACCGTTCTCATAATATCATTATATTAGTTATACATGCTATAATAAACCTTTTATACTTACAGTGTCATAAAGAAGAGAAGGAATATGGACACGACATAGAACTGCATGTCATTAGACAGGAACCAAGTCCATCCCATACACTGTAGGTGTGAAGTCAAATAATCTCATTACATATGAACGATAACACGCTACTTACAAACGGAAATCTCATTGAAGTTTTATAGGCGCTAATGTATCAGAACATCTTTCATTTTGGGTATGCAGACATAATTATGAATACAAACATTCCTTTAATACAATCAAACAGTTTTTACAGTTAAATTTTACCATCAAAATAAGAATATAAAACAAAATTGTATAAGAGTATAAACCATAAATAATTGCTAAATGAGTAAATACTAATTAAGACAGATAGGTATTAGCTATAGTAAGGCATCTCGATAAGTGAGATAGACTAAGATAGGTATTAGCTACCTATTTTTAGCTATACTAAGGCATCTTGATAAGTGAGATAGAATAAGATAGGTATGACCTACCTACTTGTAGCTATAGTAAGGCATCTTGATAAGTGAGATAGAATAAGATAGGTATTATCTACCATATTTGTAGCTATGGTAAGGCATCTCGAAAAGTGAGATAGAATGAGATAGGTATAAGCTGCCTATTTGTAGCTGTAGTAAGGCATCTCGCTAAGTGAGATAGAATAATATAGGTATTATCTACCATATTTGTAGCTATGATAAGGCATCTCGAAAAGTGAGATAGAATGAGATAGGTATAAGCTGCCTATTTGTAGCTGTAGTAAGGCATCTCGCTAAGTGAGATAGATAAGGATAGGTAATATCTACCTATTTGTAGCTATAGTAAGGCATCTCGATAAGTGAGATAGAATAAGATAGGTATTAGCGACCTATTTGTAGCTATAGTTAGGCATCTCGATAATTGAGATAGAATAAGATAGGTATTAACTACCCATTTGTAGCTATAGTAAGACATCTCGATAAGTGAGATAGAATAAGATAGGTATGACCTACCTACTTGTAGCTATAATAGGCATCTCGATAATTGAGATAGAATAAGATAGGTATTAACTACCCATTTGTAGCTATAGTAAGACATCTCGATAATTGAGATAGAATAAGATAGGTATGACCTACCTATTTGTAGCTATAGTAAGGCATCTTGATAAGTGAGATATATTAAGATAGGTATATTCTACCTACTTGTAGCTTTAGTAAGGCATCTCGATAAGTTAGATAGACTAAGATAGGTATTAGCTACCTATTTGTAGCTATAGCAAGGCATCTCGATAAGTGAGATATATTAAGATAGGTATATCTACCTACTTGTAGCTTTAGTAAGGCATGTCGATAAGTAAGATAGACTAAGATAGGTATAAGTTACCTATTTGTAGCTATAGTAAGGCATCTCGATAAGTGAGATAGAATAATATAGGTATTATCTACCATATTTGTAGCTATGGTAAGGCATCTCGAAAAGTGAGATAGAATGAGATAGGTATAAGCTGCCTATTTGTAACTGTAGTAAGGCATCTCGCTAAGTGAGATAGACTAAGATAGGTATTAAATACCTATTTGTAGCTATAGTAAAACATCTCGATAAATGAGATAGATTAAGATAGGTATTAGCTACCTATTTGTAGCTATAGTAAGACATCTGGATAAGTGAGATAGAATAAGATAGGTATTAGATTCCTATTTGTAGCTATAGTAAGGCATTTCGATAAATGAGATAGCATAAGATAGGTATTAGCTACCTATTTGTAGCTATAGTAAGGCACCTGGATACATATGGTATACTTTAGATAAACTCGTCGTAGGAATGTATTTTAGAAGGGTTGACACGATACAAACTGAAGAATCAATATACTTTCACTGTTATATGTTTTACATGTGTAAAATTGTACTGATATTTATTAGCATCTTTCCTGTTTTGTTATTTTTTTACTTAAATTTGGAAAACTCTGAATAATGATTTTTAATATTTTGACTTTTAGTACCTCTGATTAGTCCTAAATGTCCAAAATGACTGTATTGTTCGTAAAATATTTATTTATTTGGTTTTTTCGATTTACTTCCTTAATTAGGTGCTTTCGTACTTTGCATTTATATTGGTTCTTTTTTAGCATTAATTGGCTACTTACTTGTCTGTCATGAAATTATTGAGATGGACGGTAGATAGTTTACTTGATTGTGCTCAATCGTTAAATTAGCAGTGTGATGTACTTAAGTTATAATACCTGACTATCCACTTTGACGATGTTGTTGATATATAACAAGTTTGTCCACCACGATTGCTTGCAATCTTCTGAGGTTTGCAATACATTTGGCCATAGTGGACCGCTCCCTAAGTACGGAAGTAGTGTTGCGAAGATAAGGAGAACCACGACGTACATTGGCGTCAACCTAAAAAGAAAAATTATAAGTCAGGTTATTGTCAAACTTATCATAGAGCAATTACCGTTACGGTTTTACAGTAGATTGATCCATTCAATGATAAAAAATGGAGCATAAAACAGTAAAATCATCATGATTTGTCAGCCTCCAAAACAATGAATACTTTTTTAAGATAAGAATTTACGATGTTATCAATATAAATAAATAACATTTATAAAAGTCTACTTCCAAAAGATTGATGTTTTTTTATATTTGATGTTTATTTTCATTATGTACAGACGACCTTTGAAAAGTTCCTCCACTGTTGTCCCCCCTCACACACACACCTACACACACACACCCACACACTTCCCTGAACCCCACAAAATAACAAGATGAATAAATAGAAAATAAAGACATCTAGATATTTTGAAAATTTAAGGTTTTGTCATAGTAAAACACTAAATATGAAATTTACATTTTATAGATGCAACATTTTGATTTCAACCGCATATTGGGATATTGATGGATTGCATGGCAAAAGACCAATTTTTCGTAACACTTATGAAGTTACTTTTTATCCTTAGTATATCTTCTTTTCCATTACCTCCAAAATCTGTGAAAAAAATAAAGCATGGCGTAGCTGCCGATCTTCGGTCCAGTCAGATGGGTCTTTAGCTTTGCCAATCGCTTCAGTTGAGTATATGTCAGCAACATCGCACTGTATTGGAGAAAAAGGAGTATTAGTAGTTTGCTGTTGGCATGGTCATATCATTAATATCATTAGTATGGTGTGGTGGCAAAACAAACAGTAGTATATACTATCACAAAGAGGCAATCTCCCAATTCTGCAACATACCTTACTCCTGTCCCTTCTTAGTGTACAAGGATTATGCTATCCCCGGACATGAACGTGTAGCTGTAAATCGTATGTGACGTTATTTTAATTTAATTTTATCGATATGTTTGTTAAAACATATGTTCATTTGTCCAATGTTATACGTCATCTCAACTGCCAAGGTCAAATGCAAATGCTGTTCAAAGGTGATGGGGCATATAAAAAAACAATTTCAAAGCACCATTTCAAATGTCATAGCCTCGATATTGTTGCATGATATTTCACAAGGTCATATTATTTTGACAAAAGGGCACCACCAAAAAGGAAATGTCAGTACATGTAGGAGAGAACAATAACGTGAAAAAAAACATGTGTGTTTTGTTTTATGAAAAAAAATTGTCATTCTAGCCTCATCAGATCACTGCAGGGTCTGGGTAGGAATGATACAATCTGTTACCTGTAACTGAGCGAGATCGGGTTATCTCAGTCGAGGGTTAGAATTCTGTAACAAATCCCAACCGAGGCTTAAGCCGAGGTTGGGATGTTACAGAATCTTAGCCCAAGGCGGGAGGGATACTTGTAGTTTTTAGCAAAATTGAATAGTTCTTTTCGTATTAAAAGGTGCGAGAAAAAAACAATTACCTGTTGTTGTTTTTTTCTCGCACCTTTTAATTCGAAAAGAACTATTCAATTTTGCTAAAAACTACAAGTATCCCGCCTTGGGCCTCAAATGATAATGACCTCTTCACTAGTTACATTTGAATGCTTCCGCGTAAAAAATATAATCCGTTCTTACATAGATATTACAACGTATTTCACAGTGTGGATTTTGTTTGTATCTACAACATCAAATTTCTAACAACATCAAAACTATACATATATCGACAAAACAGAACATTTATTCTGCAAATTGTCAATTTTAAGCAGTTAACCTGCGGATGAATACATCGCAGTGTAAAAATTCTGCGAAATGTCACGAAAAGGTACAAGACAGATCGGACGAGGTGCGAGAATACACCAGATGTATTCCTCTGTATGCTTTTGTAAGAGAAGGGTTATATTGGTTCCTGAAGAATCGCGGGTTTTCTTCTGTGTCTTCTGCTCAAAGAACATTGAAGTAACCCTAATTGTTTCCCTATGCATCCATTTTCATATAAGGATTGAACGGCATTCTCATTTTTATGGTGGTGACGGCATTTTTTCAATGTTCATTTCGGGATACTTACATTTATATTTTTAGTCTTTAATGACCTAAATACAGATTTATTTTAATATTTTCGATATTTCAGTGTCTTTGTTGTCAGTGTAAACGGGATTCTTGAAATGGCTAACGTCACAAAAATGTTTGCTTCTAACGGCTATCTCGTGATAGTCGTGAAAAGCTTTGACTTGACGCTGATGAAATCGGGTTCATAGTTCTATAAACGCTTTTTTATTTGTACTGAGAAGGTAAATATATGATATTTGCTGTTGCGAACAAGCTTAACCCCATACAAACAAACTAACCTTAATACGAAGAATGTGTCGACGGCGAAACCTCCTGCAGTGATTATTTGAAACGTAAACCGTTGTATCATACTCAATGCATCCCCAAAGTTCGCTGCAAAACAAAAAGATCATCTTCAACAAATGTCAAACATTGCCATAATGATACTGAATGTGTAAACTTTCTATTCGAAAGGTGATGTCAAGTTTTAAAAACGACTTTTCATTCTTATAAATAATCCAAAATGGAATAGTTACTATGGTAAAATCAAAAGATTTGGCCATGAGCAAAATTCGTCATTTCACCAAGGAAGTAAACAGAGGTTGGCATGCTTTTACACTCTGTATTGAAGAATTATCTAGTATTTTGGCGGAATGTCTGACATTTTAATGGATTATCTGGTATGTGGACGGAGTATATGTTAAAATAGCGAGTATCTGGTATTTGGACGGAGTATATGGTATTATGGCGGATTATCAGATATTACAGCGGATTATATGGTGTTATGGCGGATTATCTAATATCTGGACGGAGGTTATGGTGTTAAACGGATTATCTGGCATTTGGACGGAGTATGTGGTGTAATAGCGGATTATCTAATATTTGGACCGATTACGTGGTGTTATAGCGAATTATCTTGTATTTGGATTAGGTATGTGGTGTAATAGCGGATTATCTGATATTTGGACGGAGTATGTGGTGTAATAGCGGATTATCTAATATTTGGACCGATTACGTGGTGTTATAGCGGATTATCTGATATTTGGACGAAGTATGTCGTGTTATAGCGGATTATCTGGTATTTGGACGGAATATGTGGTGTAATAGCGGATTATCTGGTATTTGGACGGAATACGTGGTGTTATAGCGGATTATCTGGTATTTGGACGGAATATATGGTGTAATAGCGGATTATCTGGTATTTGGACGGAATATGTGGTGTTATAGCGGATTATCTGATATTTGGACGAAGTATGTGGTGTTATAGCGGATTATCTGGTATTTGGACGAAGTATGTGGTGTTATAGCGGATTACCTTGTATTTGGATGGAGTATATGAGGTTATGGTGGATGATATAATATCTGATCGGAATGTATGGTGTTATAATGGATTATCTGGTATTTGGACGGAGTACTGTATGTTGTGTTATAGCGGATTACCTGGAATTTGAACGGAGTATGTGGTGTTATAGCGGATTATCTTGTAATTCTGGTGTTAAAGCGGATTATGTTGTAATTGTGGTGTTATAGCGGATTATCTTGTATTTGGACGGAGTATGTGGTGTTAAAACGGATTATCTGGTATTTGGACGCATAATTCGGTGTTATAGCGGATTATCTTGTAATTATGGTGTTAAAGCGGATTATCTGGTATTTGGACGGAATATGTGGTGGTATAGCGGATTATCTGGTGTTAGGATGAAGTATGTGTTATTATAGCGTATTATCTGTTATTTGGACGAAGAATATTGTGGTATAGCGGATTATCTGGTTGACTGAGTATATGGGTTATAGCGGATTGTCTGATAATAAGTCGAAACATTTCCTATTGTAGCGGATTCTAACGGACTATGGTGTTACAGTAGATTATATGGTATTCTAACGGAGTGTCTTGTATCATAGTTGATTATGATGTATTATGACTGAGCTTATGATGTTATAGAAGATTATCTGGTATTCCGACGCAATGTGGCCATACAAAATGAACTAAAATCATTTCAAAAATAGCTATACGATAGAAACATATGCTATAGCCATAAAAGTTTTCTCATATTCAACTTAAATTGTTTTGTAACCAATGAGAAATCCCTCAGTCAAAAAGGATCCACAAACTATTCAGCTGCTCTTTTTCGCCAGGTATCTTGTCGAAAGAGAATGTTCTACGGTATCTAGTTTGTCTAACATTTTACCAAACCATTCCATTAGTGATTATATTGGGCTAGCTTACATGTACATTTTCTTCATTATACCTGTTGTCCAACTTTTAGAAACATTTAACTCTTAGGTTTAATACTTCTTACACGCGATTAACAACATCTTTTAGCCTGATATTACAGGTTTACTTATTACAAATGTATTTTTTTCAGTTTTTTGGCGTCATTTGACATCAGTCCTTACTGATAGAAATTACAAAGTGTACCTGTAGGTTATCATACTATTTTGTTATGTTTACCTGTTGCCAAGGTCGTCGAAGCGTCCGACAGTATACCGTAGTTATAAGTGTGATTTAGTATTACCCATGTTATAGTGAAGAACTTGATTCCGTGGATACATTTTATTGAGTTAAGTCCAGTCCTCCCGGTCAGTATCTTTGGGGCGTTTATCTGTATGGAGAACGCTTTGACGATACGGACTAGTACACCTAGACAGGAAAAATTAAAATTAAAATCCCGAACAAACATCAAGTTGGTAGTAAAATGTTAATAAAACTGCAATTACAAAAATATTAGACCAGGTGTTCCGGAAGAGTAAGCGTCTTATGCCGCCTCCTCGACTACCCCTGCCATGAAATTGTAAGCCAAATCTAAGTAGTGTCATGTTCTTAAATTCAGAAATACCGTTAGACAAGGACACAACAAGCCACATCAAGTACTGTTTAAAAAGGTTAAGCTGTACTACGGAACATCGTTTGTTCTAACGATGTCATTCTAAAGTTAGTTTATCGTCGATTGTGTAGTTCTTCTCGAAACATTTTAATATTGAACTTGTTCATAGTCAAAGTTTATAAACGACACATACAACTTATAATAACTAATATAAATGCATGTATATCTTATACACTATATATGTTCTATATTATCATTGGGTTTTATAATCTCTATAATCTCCTCGAGTAATTATCGAAGTAATGGTACCTTCTTTCTTTTGTCGTGATGGTTTAGCATTGGTTTCTTGTGTTAGTGATACAGCTTTGGTACCAGTACCGCCATTTGAAACACCGTTTGGTTGATCAGTTATTGTATCCACTGTTTTGTCTGAGGCAGATTTATCGGATTCTGAGTGTGGTACATAGTTTGCAAGAAGTCCAATTTCTTTTCTTCCCTTTTCCCCTTCTTTCGCAGTGTGCCCGTTTTCAACTTTAACCTCGTTCAATGTCGGACACGGTTTACTTTCGTCGACATTTGTGAATGTCAGATTGCTGTAGGCACTGTCTGCATTAGCAGATTTATCATTGTCAGCGATATCACCCCGTGACTCCATCGAAACGTAAAGCGTTCCGGTTAACATAAGAAACGCCAAAATACTGAGAAGCATTCTGAAAAAAACCCAGACGGTTTACATTATTTACATCTGTCATACATTACAAGTTATAGTCTATTCATAACTACTATACAAGTAAATGTCACTTTAGAATTCAAACTACATTCATGTCTACCAAACAAGTTAAAGGCGTGACAGTATTCAAACAATCTTCTCATTTACTATGTATTCAAATTATATTCACATCTACCACACAAGTTAAAGGCGTACCTGTATTAAAACCATATATTCATACCTACCACACAAGTTACAGGCGTATCTATATTAAAACCATATATTCATACTTACCACACAAGTTACAGGCGTACCTGTTTAAAACCATTTATTCATACCTACCACATAAGTTACAGGCGTACCTGTATTAAAACATATATTCATATCTGCCACACAAGTTACAGGCGTACCTGTTTAAAATCATATATTCATACCTACCACATAAGTTACAGGCGTACCTGTATTAAAACTATATATTCATACCTACCACACACGTTACAGGCGTACCTGTATTAAAATCATGTATTCATATCTACCACACAAGTTACAGGCGTTCCTGTATTAAAACCATATATTCATACCTACCACACAAATTACAGGCGTACCTGTTTAAAACCATATATTCATACCTACCACACAAGTTACAGACGTACCTGTTTAAAACCATATTCATACCTACCACATAAGTTACAGGCGTACCTGTATTAAAACTATATATTCATACCTACCATACACGTTACAGGCGTACCTGTATTAAAACCATGTATTCATATCTACCACACAAGTTACAGGCGTACCTGTATTAAAACCATATATTCATATCTACCACACAAGTTATAATCGTGCCTTTATTCAAATCATATTCACATCTACCATGCTAATTAAAGTCGCCTTTGTATTAAGATTATATTCAAATCTTCCATACAAGTTAAAGTCGCTCAGTACTCAAACTCCATCCACATCTACCAGAAAAGTCGTGTCTGTTTTAAACTATATCCACATTTACTTTCATCCTACTTTCATATCTGAACAAATTGTCTTCATGTCGATGTTTTTTTCGAGTTCTTAGTTTTTCTCATCCTGATGCAATCATAGATATGATATAACTATTGTGGTTAATTAAATGAAAATAATATTCAAACTAAACTATCATAAAATCTGCATTCATTTAAATATATTATACAAACTGGACTCATATCTACTAAACAAATTTTAATTACACCCGCTATGAAGCATTAGAATGCAGCATTTTTTCGTCGATTTTATCTAATAAATAAATCAAGGAATTTGAAGTGTAACTTCTAGCAAGTCCAAGGCTCCGTATTGACTGAGTGATACTTACCATGTTCAGATATTTTTAATGAGAATGTATTGACCAGAGAAATCCGACAGCTAAGATCTTATAGAACATGTTTTATTATTTTCAATAAATAGTTTTCTATGGATAGTATGTTACCATCAACATCGTTATCCCAGTCAGAATGCTAAGGCTAGTTCTCGTGATATAACCATAACTAGAACAATAATTTTGTCTTTACATATTATCTCTCTTATCATGAAAATTATCTCAAATATCTGGTTTATACGTTGTACCCAAGTCCAATTTTAGATATATGTCTGAATATTTTGTTTTCTAACACGAATATCTCAAAACCAGAGTTTATCAATGAAATACTTTTTTTTATCTGATGACAGCTTTTTTTCTTTCTAGTTTAACACAAGTATCTGGAATACCATGACACGATCTTACCTTTTTATGTCGGTTTGTTACTATGGTTTTAACATGGTTATCTCGAATACTGTGTTTTTATCTAGGATTGTTTAATTTTTTTATTTTTCTATGCCAACTTGTTTCTAGAATGTATTTTTAAAGGAATATTTGGTATTGTTTTAAATGTGTTCTGATAGGGATATTTGGGATAACCTTTTAACTCGAATGTCTGCAAGGTCGGTTTAGGATATCCCCTACCTACGACGTTTTGATAGGGTTAATGGGATAACCCTAACGAAATTTCTTATAGGACAGATTTGTTTGACAAAACGATATTCCGAATCAAAGTATATTTCCTCTGAACTTACATGGTGAGTACCGCCGCCAGGTCCTGTGTTATGTCCAATTCCAGGGTACAATCAACAGACTCTACCATTGACGTTGCGTTTTTGAAAACATCTGTGAAAAAGAACTCTGTTATTAAAACCTCAATGATTTTATTGACCGAATGCAATGCGTGTATACTCCGAAAAACAAAAATATAAAGCTGTGCTTCGTTAGGTAATTTAAAAACCCCAAACAATGTGCATGCGTGTTTGTAAGTATGTTATATTCTTCAATCGGTATGGCAATGCTTATCATCCAGAAAAAGTTTTCATTTTGCAACTTACCCAGTTTCAGAAGTCCGTATACATCGTTTCCTGTACACGTGTCAGGAATGCACGTACCCCAGGTTACTTTTAAGCCAATACCTTTTGTTTCCTGAAAAAAAAGGATTTTCTTTTAGGAAACAACTAATCGAAAGGTTCTGACTCGTGTTGATTCTCTAGATTACGTATGGTCATTGTGGAAGCAAAATGGATCAGGACAGTATTCATGTAGTAATAAGTTGGGCGGTTATAACATGTTTGTGGTTTCTGGTAGACAAGAATAGCATGTGACAGACTTGCATATGACAAGCTGGATAGTGATGGTACGTTTTTTTCCCCTCACCTCTAGTTATGTAAGACACACGTACATGTATTCCGTACGAAACATCCAGGCGGGATAAGGGTAAGTAACAAGGTGACCTTTACTATTATAGCGTCAAAGTCATATGAAATCGTTATATTATGACGTCACAATCAAAAACCCGTCAAAACGTCGTTTTACTGACTGTGATGAATGTGTCATCCGGCAAGTGAAACTATCTCAGAAACCAAGGCGTTAGTGCGTAAGCTTGCGCATAACGTCTGGAATAGTGTTTTCAATTTTAGGCATACATTCGGTACACAATACTTTTGCTGCTCTTTCCAAGTATGGCCTTATATGTTGTGTATGTTATCTATCATGTTGTTTTTGCAATGTCCATATAGTGTGTTAACCAAGTTCTATTTAGAAAGTAGGTTAAATAGAAAATGTCTGTCAGACATAAATTCCCCGCTCATGGATGGGACGGGACGAGACTTGACTGGACTGGACGGACATGGGCAAATGTGCACCCCCCCCCCCCCCCCCCCCCTCCCATTTTATGGCGGTGGCATAAACAGATTCAATCATGTTAGGATGTGGATATCCTTCCATTTGTTTCATATGATATTTGGGTGTGTAGGTAACGAATATTCCACCCTCAGGTGCATAATTTGGTGTCTCCGCTTGATGCTTTTTGCCGAGGTTCTGATACCAAATTTAAATAATCCACCGAGGGTAGAAAATCCATATCCCACAAACCTACACGTTGTATATATCATGGACTATATTTGCGGTATGGGAAATAGACAGGTGATAATATATTTGTGGTATAGACCTGATTGGATGTGAAATATTACATGGAAGTGAGATATCCGTACCAATTTATTTCATTTAAACATACCACGCATTATCAGGGGACAAGATATCTCCTGTTCTACTCACAATACTTCTTGTTTACTAGAAAAACATGGAGGAGAGAACAATAATATTTTATAACATTTCCTATGAACGAAAAAAGTTTCATTCTTAATATAGCATTATCTTGATTTTTAATTTGCAAATTAATCAAGTATTAAGCAACAAGACCCAAGAAATACTTGTGGAATAAAGCAGTATGTCATTGGACATTAACAAGTCACATTATCTTGTCAGAGTACGTTAGAGTGTTCGCATGTCAGCATTTTACAGTAAGTTACCTCTATATATACTGTTAACATAAGTTATTGGTTTTAAAAAACATTACACTGTGCCTACTCAAACAGCAATGCTAGTGCCTACTTACCACGCCTATTCCGTCGACAATACTTTTCGGAAGCGGTATACGAACACGGCAATATTTGGATCCTACGGATCGTGGATACCTTGGAGAGTTTCTGCGAATGCCTCCAAGAATTTCATTGGCTTTAATGTCCGATCTGATCTTTAGACATTGGTCAAAGGAGCCGAGGAAATTGATATTCCCTTTTGCAAGGCCAGAAGGTATTTTCCCATATGAATCAAGCCCTGTAAATAGAGAACGTACACAAATGAAAGCACGTTAACTAAAGTGATGTATGGTCTCTCGTTACTAGTTCATTTTAGTTATGTTTGTTTCGGGATTCGAAAATGGTTTAAAGATGATCAACGGTGGCCGCATACGTTGATTATGTCTTTTAAATTTGGATTTTATCGGGGAGGACATTTTATTTAATTTTCAGTCGACATTTAGCCGGCAGAAAACAAAAAATTAGAACTGACTGACGTTGTACTTTATTTGCTAGTTTTCCATTAATCAAATCCACCAATCCATCAACATCGCTCGTCAATACATTAACTCAGCATTTGATATATTTTCAATTATATTTCAAGTCACTTTCGCGGTAAGTTCAGCGGAACTATCTGACCATGATCTTCATAGGTCTTAAGTAGATCTAGAGATGATAAATATACATTTTGTATATTGGTTGTCCGCTAGCAAATGAAACCAGTCCCGCGACTTGCTATTTTACCGGAAAAATTAGCTGGGGAAGTTGATGGAAGAGCGTTTGTCTGTTTGAAAACAATACACGCGCGCTCATGGTCTATCGTCCAATAATACATGGTTATTAACAAATGAAAAGTGTCGTTACATTACAATTGTGCTAGGATATTTAATATACAAAGATTGGATAATTTGACTCACCTTTCAAACAGCATGCTTGAATATTCATCGACAAAGAAGTAATTACTTATCTGAAGCTAGGCGACAACCATGTTTAGAGAATTTGTTATTCCATATTTTGCCAATTTTAGTGTATCGCTCTAAACACTAGTTAATTAACGAACGACTTGAATTATACAATCCATATCATAGCAGGACCGCCCTGATGTTAAAATAAGCCTAATACACCTTAAAATCGAAAACAATATGACAAAGTGAAGGAAGCTGCAACTATTACTCACTATGGACAACAGTTTAACTCCAGATTATTTTAACTACCCTTGACAATTGTTCGGTAGTGTAGTCGAATGAGGTTCTAACGTTAATGTTCTGTGGTGTTTTAAGGAGGGCTCTATATGTCAAGGGACTTAACTTTGTTGTTTTTTATATGGGAAAGCCGTATCTGTCAATGGACTTGTTCTGTAAAGCTTATCAATGTACTATATACTAGTTTTCAGATGTATTCTAGGGAGTTGAACTATAAATATGCTTGTAATGTGTTGCATTCGTGGGAATTTGATTGTAAACTTACATGTTCTCTGTTGTATGTTAGGTAGTTTAATTATAAATGTGCTTGGTACCTATACCGTTGTATTGTAGGGAGTTGAACTATAAATATACTTGCTATTTGCTATATTCTAAGGAATTTAACTTTATCGAAACGTATCTTTCTCTATTCTAGGGTGTTGAACTATGAATAAACTTGTTGTCTGCTTATTTTAGGGAGTTTAAATATATGACATGTATTAAGTACCCGTACAAATAGTTAATTTTTTGTCAGGCTGTAACGTTTCACCTTTTTGTCATAGTAACTGATACGGTTATATGTGTTTGCATATAATAGATACATGTATAGTCAGTATAGTTATGTAATAATTTTGTACAGGGCTGGCAGGTCGGGCAGTTATGTAATAGGACATGGCTCTTACGCCTGATTGAAAATCCCCAGGCCCAATACTGACCATCGTTGGCCAGAGGTCTAAAATTAACAAGCAATCATTGGCTGTCCAATCATAAGTCTTTTCTCCAGCCTCTGGACCAATCACACAGGTCTTTGACCATCCTTTGTCCATAGAGGCGTCACTACCCAGCAGTGTTGATGGGGTAGAATATTTATAACTGCTGTATATTAGTGTGGTTCATTACCAATATACTTGTTCTGAGGTGCTATTTTAGGACGGTTCATTATTGATGCGTTCTAGGAAAGAGCTCTATTTATTAATTACAAGTTTTTTGGCTTCTTCGGATTCATATAACATTTAGCTTTTTCAAATTTCATTTTCATAAAAATATGCAATAACAAAGGCGGGACCGAGAAAGTAATGACACGAAAGCAGGGTCCATACTTTTATGAGGCGAACCCATGGAAGGTTTCGCTGACGAATACTACACTTTAGCTGTTCATCTTTGACACGTTTTGCTTCTGCGGACGTAGGATTCAGAGAAGTTTCTATTTTGCTTGATTCTAATGAGATGCTGTTAGATTTGTACTTCTTAGAAAAAAGAACCAATCAGTGTTGCAAATAAATAAGTACCCTAGCTCACTAAACGGAAACTACAAAGCCAATTTTCTTGGCAATTATATTCTTAAAGGTTGGATTTATGAATGTTGTAAATTTGTAATTTGTAAAGTATTCATAAACAACATGCAAGCCTATAAGGTCAAAAATGGAACGAAATGAAGGGAAAAATATTACTTTGAGCAAGCTAACGTTTTAAAATGAAAAAGCATCAAATGTATATGTAATATGTCGAAACATATTGAAGAACATACATAAATGTAAAACATATGACTAAACTCTTTTAAGAATCAATAACGAAATCAGAATGACAATTTCAGGAAATCATCTTCAAGTGCTGATGAAGTGTTGAAATAAAGTGGATCTGTTAAAAGCGTTATATGTGAAAGGTAGCCATGTAACAGTAAGAGGGACACAGTTTGTCAAAATACAATTTAATTAGTTTTATAAAACATATCAAAACATAAACAAATGTCATAGTCAACATATATGTCATTTATTACACGAGCTTTGATCAGACCTCAGGACATAACAATTGTTGACGATAGCAATATTGTACCGCTGACTATATTAAAGATAATGTGTTTGACAATCATTCAAGGCTTAAATCCATGTTAAATTATTGATAACCTGACTGGACAGTCACGTCAGCAACATTATTATTGCGTTACTTATAGTCTGGTTAGCATACATTGTCATTCAAAAATGTTTAAGGAGTAAAAACAAGGCAGCTTCCCAACAATACAATATACAATATTTTAGATAGGGAATGACAGGAAGGAATATAAACGTTTAATTTTAAAATCATAATCATTAACAATCATTAACAAATTAATAAGAAATTGGCGAATAGAAAAAGAAAGAGGGTGAGGAAGAGATGGAAAGAACAGAGGTTTTACATTTCAATGCCTGCATACAGGAGATCTTAGAGCTTACAGTGTATTATGTTAAAGATATGTAGGTTCTGCTGTACAAAGTTCATATAACCATCGAAAGTGAAAAAGGTATCAAGATCTGGATAGCATAGCAAATCACGTGACAAGGCTAGTCATCAAGTTATTTCTTTGTGTCATCCAGGTGCGTCCAGGACGGATGAGACATGAGGACAAAGTCCAATGTTATAGCCATGCGTGTATATCGCTTATCAGTAGCGTGGTGCTGTACAATGGGATTATATGGTAAAGGAAGGATATTCTGTCAAAACATATAACGACACACACTGTTATCGTATTGTAATGTAACGTATAAAAGTAACAAATAAGAAAAAAATGTAAACTACCTGGGATCGAACCACCGAATGAAAACTTCCCAGCCCTCCGCCATACCGATTGAGGTTAAATGATATTCCCCTAATGCGAAGCTTCACGAGGAAGTTTTGTTTAAACACTACAAAATACATATATATGTATACATACATCCCTTAATAATAATAAGTATATATATAAATGTATTGATCATTATAAGGTAGCAACGTGTCATCAAACACATGCATGTTTATCAATATATCTAAGGTAAGGATTATTTCGAAAATTTCGTGAAAAGTATTTGTCTGCTTTATCCAACTGTCAATCGCAACTTCTCGGTCAATTCCGTGAAGGCTTAAAATTGAAACGTTTAATTTTTTTTTCTCTACATCTCAATATACATTTCCCAAGGACTGTACTTTGAAAAAAAAATGTTGAAAGGGGATAGAGCAATTTTTCTTTTGAAACAAATAAAGATAAACAGAACTTCAGAAACCCCCGCCCCCACCACCCCCANATACTGTTAAGAGGTGTATATCTAGGCCTACGTTTATTATGTCCATAGCTATTATGAGGACGTTATCTTTGTATAAATCAAACAAATACAACATAGTTCATGCTATTCAGACGTATTGATATCACACTGAGTTACAGGAAGAAAAAACATAGTTATATATTAACCTCGAATGCAGTCAGGTGTCATACAGAACATTTTACGTTTGAACTACTTGTATTCTCCTCAGTGAAATATGACATTTACATGGAAGTTTGCAGAATTTTCATGCTTTATCTTCATTGTACGATAGTGAGATTTTGAGTATATCCAAAAATAAACGTAAAGACATTTAAAACCTAATAACAAATTACCGAGATCAATAAATAATTATCAGCCAACTTATATCAAAGTTTGTCATTTTACACAATGTACAAATTAAACGTGTCGCAACGTTTCAAGACTGACTGGTCCCTTTGTTTAATACGTACATTGTTTGTGTAGAGAGTAAAACTTTGATATCATATGTTTCCAATCTGATAAATCTTATTGTCTGTATCATAAGGGATCCCGTAATCTGTTAACGATATACTTCGATATACAGGTGCACTTATTAATTATTTCAAACCACTGCTTTGCTTTTGAAGAAATAGTAATACTATAATGATTTAAAAGGCTGTTTATATATCATCAAACAGATTAGATAATATGCATGTATCTACAACGCGTGGCACTTTTATATGAATTTCCTGCGGAGAGTTTGAGTTAACAGATGATCGGTGCAAGACTATTTATTTCAATTTTTTGACATCGAGGAAAGTTCTTTGCTTGGTGTGATCTCGTATTTCGATTGTCGAGTTTATAATGATTTATTTAATTGAGTTGATTCCTTATGATCCAGACAACTGGATATAGGTAGCCTCCCACGTCCAACTCCAACTGTGCCAGCTATCGATCGACTGACTTATAGTTAACTGTGTCAGCTATCGATCGACTGACTTATATTTAACTGTGTCAGCTATCGATCGACTGACTTATAGTTAACTGTGTCAGCTATCGATCGACTG